AATTAAATAATTCTCAATTACTTCTTTAAACTTTAATTAATTTGCATCTATTTCTAAAATTGTTACATGCAATTATATTTATATGCATATATGTTATATGCTATATATATATATATTCTCAAACACTGAATCATCCTAATTATGAAAATTTCAGAATAATATGGAGAAACAACAAGAGACATCAAAAGATAACAAAACAAAATTCCATATAATATGAAATTTAGGTATGGTATTAAGTATTGTTAAGATAATACTACCCTAATGTGGCATATTCTGTCTGTATACATAACTAGATACTTTAGCATTTGAAAAAATATAAAGCATTATTGTGCACACAAATCTAAAATATTCTAAATAATAAAATTACTGAGAAATAAACATCTCATCTGTGAGTATGTCCTTTGCATACTTTTTTCCTATATTGTTAATAAATATTTCTCATGGTTGAAATTTGAAAATTTGTTGTGGAATAATAGAATATGGACCAAAGTTTGAAAGCTGAGGGAAAACTCTTTTCGTTGCCAAGCACAATCACATGTACTGAACTTTCTTGGGAACATTCAGTTTTACCATTCTAGTATGAAATAATCCTGAATTAAATTATTTTAGAACTGAAGACCTGGTGATCCTCTGCTTTATTTCTTCATACGGCATGTTATGAGATCACAGAAATTTCTTAAAAGGATTTTACATTTAGGTGAATCTGATTGGTATCATAACTAATCTTTTAGAATTATGAACTATAGCAAGAGCTATGTTGTTTTTACTCAAATGTTTAAATACTACCAAAATAATGAATGTGATTTTATAGTTGTTTACTTTGGATATTTTGTTTGTTTTGTATTATTTATGTTTGCTTCTTTATTTTCTAAGGATAAAGATTTCGGTGGCTGGGGTAGTGGGGAGACTTTGGGAAGATGGGAAGAGGAGAAAATTTTGAGTAGAATATGAATGAAACATTTTTCAATAAAATACGCTAAAACTATTGTTAATATATTGCATAGCCGTTGGGAAATGAAAACATCATAAAGACAGAGCCTTTACAGATTATATTACAGACTTTATCATATAGAACCTAATAACTCCCTCTTTCCTTCTGCCACTAGTAAAGTGAAGGTCCAGATTCTCTATGAACAAGGATGAGTGCTGTAAGCACTCACCATACCTAACCTGGATTTGGAACTGCTTTACCCCGGAGTTGTGAGATTTACCAGTACGTGGCATTTTATAATAACAACTGAAAAAGATAAGAAAAACAGCATGCCTGCAAATATGCTTCAGTTGTGTTAAAGACCATGTAAAATATGGTAAGATGTAGTGGCTAATAAGTTAAAAGAGAAAATCAGTCAATGATTAACTTTTATCTTTCTCAAGGGATATTTGAGACATTTTATTACATTTAAACTATGATTTAAACCACACATTAATCCCATTTTATTATGTATAAAATGTGATAAAAAAAGGAAAATTAAAACTGATCAATGTCTTAAAATACTTTGAACTGATTCATTTTTTTTTATGACGAGTGGTCATTGAAGTTGAAAATTTGGTCCTTTGATATATTTAAAGTACTTTATTACTCAAACTGAAGCTTAAACAGATTAATTTTTAGTTTAAAGTTTATACAAAACTGTGGACCACAACCTCAGAGGCTTTTTTGTATTGAATGAGGCATCTAGTTAAATGTTCATAGATTCCTTCCATTTTCAGTATTTCTGAATCATGTCCTTCTTTTTAAATGTCACTCAATTATTGTAGGTAGATACTACTGAATTAGACTTAATCTGAACAGTTCTCATGTTTGGCATAATATAATTAGATTAGATACTAAACGAAGTGCACATAAAACTAAGATGTAGAAAACTATCTAAAGAATGAGTTGGAGAAAAGATTTTTGTTCATCTGTCACAGCCATATCCAAAGACCTGGGGAGAGTCATGGAGTCAGCACAGCTGCTTGACACAATTTGATCAAAGTTGAGCAGATAGCTATAACTGCTGTCTTTCTATATCTAACTTTTTTTGGCCTCTTCATGTTCCACTCATGATTTTATGTCCTTTCCTGAGAAAAGTTATGTATGAGATTTTTAAGAATATCCTCAAATTAACTTTATCGGGTCATTATTTGGAAGTCTTCCTTATGTCCTGTAGATCATTAAGCATAGATAATCACATAGATGGATGAAGCTATTACACCAAGGCCTCATTACCCTAGAGCAACTTATTGAGGTATCTTCCCCTGAACATATTCAAACATCATAACTCGTACATGGTAAACAGAGGCAATTTCTAAACTCTGACTGGCCAAGAGAATGTGTTACAGAATCAGTGCGTCTTTTTATTATAGGGTTATTGCTCTCTGAATATGTAGTCTAAAAATAGGAGTACAACCTAAGAGGATGGAACTCAGTAAATAAAATAGACAGACTAAAATAATTTTTTCCTATTTCATAGCATAGATGATAAAACATGTATTAAAAGAAGCACTGCTAGTCTAAACTGTAGGCTGTTACATAATAAATGTGTTTGCTTTGGAGGAGACATTCTTTAGATTCTTTAAATTGTAGGTGTAAGGCTAATAGTAAGAATAAAATCTGGTGCTGGAATCATGGCTCAGTAGTTAAGAGTACAGTCCAGTCTTCCAGAGGTCTTGAGTTCAATTCCCAGCAAACACATGGTGGCTAACAACCATCTGTAATAGGATCTACTGCCCTCTTCTGGCATCCACGTGCACACGCAGATAGAGCACTCACAAATAAATAAATTAAAAAAATCTTTTTTTAAAAAAAGAATAAAACCTGTTCTGTTTATATTTTCTAATTGTAACTGAACTTGTAACACTGCACATGTAATGAAAAGTCAAATGGATGCTTTGTACCACTTGGACAATCACTGTCTTTATTCTATGAAACTTGTATAAATAAAGAAGCTCCTGGTTGCTAGTCAGTCAGAGCAGCAGAAATGACTTGATTGCTAGTTAGAGACACAGAAGTAGTTTGATTGCTAGTTAGTCAGAAGAGCTAATTCTCATGACCACTGCCTGACTAAACCCCTACCCTTGCAGAATTCTTGTCTCTTCTAAGGGCTACTCTGTTAGCAAGGACCCTAAGGTCCTCAGCCTGGGAAGGCCCATCAAGAAAGCTTTCAGCACTGATCTTTTTGACATATATTAGACAAGATGATCTTGCTAATAATACCCTTGAATAAGTACATCTTCATTATTTCTACTTTGCATTATTGGTATTCCTAAGCTAGGTAGAAACTTATCAATGATTCCATTCAATTTTGCATATTTATGTCTGCATTGCCACCCGAATAATATCAATACAGTATAAAAACATGTTTAAGAACATCACTAAAGAAATAATTCATTAATCATTATTACTTTCCCTCTTTTAGTATCACATAGTTGAAATTTAAAAGAATCTTTAAGCAGTATAGGAATTAATACATCTACATTAAGTTTTACATTGAAGATTTACTGCTGCGATTAACACAAGTGTGAATCATTTGATGGTTTATATATTTGCATATATATAGACAAGTGTTTATATATTTGCATGGACATAATTATTACTTTAGTATGTAGTTGATATTTGGTATTTTTCTTTATTTCCACATTTAATATCAAATATGCAATGTAGTTTTTTTTTATAATATGAAAGGAACAATTAGTCCTTCGGCAAGGGATATGCACAATATCCTGTTGAAGAAAATAACTTACATAATTGAGTCATAAATAACAAAAATAAGTTGCAAGACAGTTGTTTATGAGTTACCAAACAGAACATTTAACCCAGATGATAAAGTGTATAGGGAAGGGATTAGAAGCAACAGAGAAACCTGATATTACACTCCATGTAACCATGTACTTTATGAAGGCTATTTTCTTTGCTCTTAAGCTATTTTGAACATCTGTAAATCTAAAAATGAAACAGATAAGTAGTCTGTAAGAGTTTTTTAATTGCTAGATATTTTGCCTAAAATTGTTCCTTTCTTCTACTTAAGCATCTGCCCTCACTTCCCTGGCCAAGGTCATCTGATGTGAAGGAGAAGAATGAAAGCAGAACCATTGGAGGATTCACAGGAAAACATAAGATGTAGCAATTTTATTGAGAGCAATCAGGCATGTTTTATATCTTTATCACAAATAATAAAATGCAAATTGAGAAGGCAAATGCAGGTGTAGTTGCCAGGATACAGTGATGTTTGCAAGCTATACAGGATACTCAAGATTAATATATAATATCAATTGCCCTGTCAAGCTTCTATGCTTCCTTGACTTCCAAGGCAATATACAGAGAAAAACAAAGCAGCCTGAATGTTCTACTGCCTGGAAAAGTGTGTAAAACTCTCAGGAATTGGAAGGTACATTGTTCCTCATAATCCATGGACTCTAACATAAAAAATCTATTCCTCCAAAGGCAGCTAGGCCAAGCCAAATCCATGGTACCTTGGAGGTGAGTATGTCTTTAGATATGCAACAGAGTATATTAGTCAAGTTTGCTGGTCTCTTGCAAATATCACATATTTATTAACTCTTGAAATATTCTGCACAGATTTATTCTATGACATTTTGAAGCAGATTAAGAGCTATTAGTTTGCTCATGTACTGTTTATCCATGACTTACATTAGATAATTGCCCTTATGATCATAGACAAAAGATGACTCACCATGAATGAAAACACAAAATACAAAAAAAGCACCTAGTATAACATAATGATCATGATTTTTAATCCAGAGAGTAACTATGACTCACTTTGGGTTAGAATCCTCTTGCAACATGCTAGGCTTACTGGTATGTGTTGATAAGTTAAGAGACTTTAATGAGATTTGGTGCACTCTTCTGGTCTTCAGGCATACATGCATGAGTCTACTATATACAAAATAAATAAATGAATCTTTAAAAAAGAGAGAGTGAAGTGAAGATTCACAATTTCAAAGCCATCCAGAAAAACATAGCGAATAGCTAAAACATTCATGTGAATCTCAATAAATATTTAAAACCATCTTTTTCTTTTAATTTTACCCAAGGTCTCTTTGACATCCTTGTTCCTTAAACTGTAAATCAGTGGGTTCAGCATAGGAATCACAAGGGTATAAAATAAAGATGTCATTTTGTCTTGATCAAGGGAATAAGAAGAACTTGGTCGAAAATATGTGAAGAGTAGAGTTCCTTGAAAAATAGCAACTGCAGTCAAGTGAGAGGTGCAGGTGGAGAAAGCCTTGAACCTCCCCTCAGTTGAACGGATTTTTAGGAGTGTTGAGATGATGCAACAGTAAGAAACAAGAACTCCTGAGATGGTGCTCAGTTCAAGGAAACCATAAATAGTAAATAGTGCCAGGTAATTTACTTGAGTATCTGAGCAGGAGAGAAGGTAAAGTGGAGGTAAATCACAGAAGAAGTGGTTGATCTCATTAGACCCACAGAAACACAAACGGAATGCCAAAGTTGTATGTATCAAAGCATCTGATGTTCCCACCAGGTAAACTCCAGCCATGAACATAAAACACTTCCTGCTGGACATATTTGCTGTGTAAAGCAAGGGGTTGTTAATGGCCTGGTACCTATCAAAAGCCATCACTGCCAGCAGTACACACTCAGAATCTGCAAAGATACAGAAAATGAAGAGCTGAAGAGCACAGCCCCAGAAGGGAATTGACTTGTTCTTGCCAAACATATCTACCAGCATCTTGGGACCAATTGCTGTTGAGTAGCAGAGATCACAGAAAGAGAGGTGGCTCAGGAAAAAGTACATGGGTGTGTGGAGCTGGGGATCCATTCTGATCAAAATGATCATACCAAGATTTCCCAGAACATTGATAAGATAGATGAGTAGAAATATGGCAAATAGCGGCTCTTTCATCTCTGGATTATTGGTAACTCCAACAAAAATGAATTCATTAAAGGAACAGTTTCCTATATCCATTCTTTCTTCCAGTCTATAATTAAAAATTTTGCAAAATCATTTTTACTGCTGGATAACAACAATACATGTATGAGGTAGAACACAGTTTATTTTTCATCTGTTATATACTGTAAAATTTTTTGAGTCCTACTTCTTTCTTTCAACATTTTCTTAATCTATTTTTTATAACAAAAGTGACCAGTATCTGTGATAGAAACTGAGAATATCCACCATTAGTTGTCCATGACTTTATACCTATTCTGTAATATACATAAGGTCTACATTAGTAATTGCAAGAGATAGATTTGGAAATATTGATTCTCATTTGATCTTTCCACAATATGAAATAAACTCAAATGTTAGACTCATGCTATATTTCAGAGGATATAATTTCCATTCTTTATGATATTTAATACACAATTTAGTTTAATTATTATATTCTTTTAAGAGCACATGATCTTAAAAACATTTTATTAGTTTAGAGATAGTCAGTAATTGACAACTATTATAATCACTAAATATGCTTCAATATAAAAATGGAGAGTACAAACATTTACTACTAACAAATAGGATGGCTAGTCCTTTTGTGTTTTGTTTTATTTAAAATATTTAAAAATAAACTTATACCACTTGTCTCTCCCTTTCCTCACTTTAGCTAGAACCTAGTTACTGTCTCTTTAAGTAATTTTATGAACACACTCTCAAATTGATAGCAACATTTTAATATGTATAAATATATGCACAAATATTTATATAAACATGAATATAGAACGTTCTGTATTTGTTGTTTGTGCGTATATGGTTTCAAAGTTAGCCATTTTTCTAGTCTTTTATTGCACCAGCATAAACTGAGAAAAAGTTAACTCTGATTTGATCTTTGATTTTAGAAATTGTTATGTTTTACAATAGTACTCCTTACCCAGCAGCAGCACTGGTCTAGTACCAATTCTTTTGACAAGTTAGATAGATATCAACTAGCAGCATTGAAAAAAATCATCCAATAATGTTGAATTTTACTACTCAATTTTCTTCACAATCTAAAACAGCTGTTTGAACAGAGTACAATAAATGTTCTAAAGTGCATCTGCCTCTGTATATGTAAATATGTACATTTTCATGTATATGTTTGACACATGTATGTATTTGAGTATACATGTTTTTGATGAACTTTAGAAAGGAAATAATTTACCTCTTGTCTTTTTAGATTAGATAAGTAATATGGAATATATTTCATAATTCACTGATATTGCATGCATTATTTGTCATATATTGAGCCAAGTTATTGCTTGATATTTAAGTTACATGAATATATACATGTGGGCATACAAATAGAAAAAAATGGAACTTTCCTCTGTAGGAAGACTATAGTAAAATAATAAAAATTCAATCTTGCTGATACTCTTAAATTTTTTAAGACTCATTATTCTGTTTAAAAATTATTTTCATTCATTAGATCTAGATATATTTTAAATTGAGAAGGCAGAAAAATAAAAAGATAAAATTGTTCTTGCTTTACCTGTCAAGGTAGAAAGATATAGGAACCCACTTGTGGAGAGTAGCAGCCTAACGTGTGTGAACACTGTGATAGTGATGTTTTATTACTCCAATTGTCATTTGGGACTGAAGGTTGTGAAATCATTTCTCCTAGGATTTGTTTTGAGTGATTAATTTCTTCCTCTATATTCTTCTCTGTAAATGGATCACCCTATTAGTTTGAAAAGTTTACCACTTTCATTAATTATTCTATTTTAATACAGATACCACAGTATACTACCATACACACACACAAACAGAAACACACACATTATGATATATTATATTTTAGACCTCTAAATTTTTCTCTCCAAAGTAAAAATTGAATAACTCAAACCTTAAAGCTCCATACTTGATCATTCCCAACTACTTTTTTAATGTACACTTCTTCTTCATCATTAAAATATTCACTTTATTATTTCACTTAGAAAAACTACTCTTAAAAAAATGACTTTCATTTTTTGTGTCTGAGTATTTTTCCCTGTGAGTTTATAAGTGTTTATTGCGCAAAAAGGCCAGAAGTTGGCACTGGATCTCGTATAACCAGAGTTACAAAAGGCTGTTAGATGTTATGGGTGCTAGGGCCCTGGCCTCAGTCCAGTGGTTGGCTGTGGGTAAAAAGGCCGCAGTGGTAGTCCTGGAGGCTTTCTACGCGGCTGGCCCCACATACAGGAGAAAGTCTAAGATTCCAGAGGCTGGAGGCTTTGGAAGTGGCAGGCCCCAATGATATGAGAAAGTCCTTGTTTCCAAACAGGTTTATTGTAATGGCAGATGGTGGATGGATCTGGATGTCCCCCCCCCCCCACCAAACTCAGGGCAGACCTGAGTTAAATAGGGAGGGAGAAAAGGGGGAGGTTCTAGGAAGAATGCTTAATTTGCTCTGCCCTCTGGCCTTCATTAGTATGTAAATCTCCAGGGCCTGAGGCCTGTAGTCACGCCCTCTACCTGTGCACTTTGGGAGGGGCTATATTGGCCTATGTGACTGGACAATGTAAGTCTATGGAGATTAGACTGTGTGTCAGGACTCTGGGTTCTGGGGACGTGGCCGAATGCCTGCCATTTCTCCCTTGAAGTCTCGGGGGTTCCAGGCATGAACCAAGTTACCCTTACGCAGTCCCATAGTTGGCTGTAAGTATCTGCATCTGTATTTGTCAGGTGCTGGTAGGTGTTCCTCTCAGGGAACAGCCAAATCAGTATCCTGTCAGCAAGTGCTTCTTGGCATTAGCAATAATGTGGGGGGATTGGTTCCTGCAGATGGGATGGATCCCTAGGTGGGACAGTCTCTGGATAGCCTTTTATTCAGACTCTGTTCCATTTTATGTCCCTGTTGTTCCTTTACACAGGAAGATTTCTGGGTTAAAAAATTTGATAAGGATGGGTTGGCCCATTCCTCAACTGGGGGTTATACATACCTGCTGGAGGTGGTCTCTACAGTTCGTATCTCTGGTTTGTTCTGTATTTCAGCTAAAGTTATCCCTGTTGGGTCCTGAGAGCCTCTTGCATCCCTGATATCAGGGACTTTCAAGTGGCTACCCACAGCTCCACATCCTCCATTGTTACATATTTCTATTCAATTTCCCTATCCTCTGTACTTCTCTACTGTTCCTTTTAATACATGTTCCTGGTCCCCTTTTTTCCTCTGCCTCTCTCCTCCATCCACACTCCCTCCTTCTACCTCCTGTGGTTATTTTGTTCTCCCTTCTATGAAAGACTGAAGAATCAATACTTTCGTCTTCCTTCATAAGCTGAAAATGATTTATGGATTGTATCATGGATATTCTGAGCTTTGGGGCTAAAATCCACTTACCAGTGAGTACATACCATGTGTGTCATTTTGTGTCTAGGTTACCTCACTCAGTATAATATTTTCTAGTTCCATTCATTTTCCTTAAAATTTCATGAAATCATTGTTTTGAATGTCTTTATAGTACTCCATTGTGTAAATTTATCACGTTTTCTGTATCCATTCTTCTGGTAAGGGACAATTGAGTTGTTTTCAGCTTCTGGCTATTATAAATAAGGCTGCTATATACATAGCGTAGCATGTGTCCCTGTTATATGTTGGAGCATATTTTGGGTATATGCCCAAGAGTGGTATAGCTGAGTCCTCAGGTAGAACTATTTCCATTTTTCTGAAGATCTGCCAGATTGATTTCCAAAGTGGTTGTACCAGCTTGCAGTCCCAATAGCAATAAGGACTGTTCCTCTTTCTCCACATCTTTGCCAGAATTTGCTGTAGCTGGAGTTTTTGATCTTAGTCATTCTGACTGGTGTGAGGTGGAATCTCAGGGATGTTTTATTTGCATTTCCCTGATGCTTAAGAATGTTGAACATTTCTTTAAGTGCTCCTTAGTCATTTGAGATTCATCAGTTGAAAAATCGTTATTTACCTCTGTACCCCATTTTTGAATAGGGTTATTTGTTTCTCTGGAGAATTTCTTTTTTTTATTGGATATTTTATTTACATTTCAGATGTAATCCTTTTTTTCCATCCCCCCACCCAGCAACCCCCTATCCCATCCCCATCCTCCTGCTTCTATGAGAATGTGCCCCCACCCACCCTCCCACTCCCACCTCCCCACCCATGATTTCCCCCACACTGGGGCATCCAGCCTTCACTGGACCAAAGACTTCCTCATCCACTTATGCCTAACACTGTCATCCTCCCCTACATATACAGCTGGAGCCATGGGTCTCTCCCTATGTGCTCCAAAGCTGGTGGTTTAGACCCTGGGAGCTCTGGTTGGTTGGTATTGTTGCTGTCTGGAGAACTTCTTGAGTTATTTGTATATTTTGCATATTAGCCCTCTATCAGATGTAGGGTTGGTAAAGATCGTTTCCCAATCTGTGGGTTGCCATTTTTGTCCTATTAACAGTGTCCATTACATTTCAGAAGCCTTTCAATTTTATGAGGTTCCATTTGTCAATTTTTGATGTTAGAGCATGAGTCATTGGTGTTCAGTTCAGAAAATTTTCTCTTGTGTCAATGTGTTTGTGGTTCTTTCCTACATTCTCTTCTATTAGATTTCATGTATCTGGTTTCATGATGAGGTTCTTGATCCATTTGGAATTGAGCTTTGTACAAGGAGATAAGAATAGATCAATTTGTATTCTTTTACATGCAGACTTCGAGTTGAACCAGCACGATTTGTTGAAAATGTATTTTCCCACTAGATGGTTTTGGCTTCTTTGTCAAAGACCAAGTGACCATAGGTATGTGGGTTTATTTCTGGGTCTTCAGTTCTATTCCATTGATCTGCCTGCCTGTCTCTGTACCAATACCATGGAGTTTTTATCACTATTGCTCTGTAGTACAGCTTGAGGTCAGTGATGGTGATTTCCCCAGAAGTTCTTTTATTGTTGAGAATTTTTTTTGCTATCCTGGAATTTTTGTTAATCCAGATGAATTTGAGAATTTCTCTTTCTATCTCTCTGAAGAATTTAGTTGGAATTTTGATTAGGATTGCATTTTTGAACCATATGCTTTATATGTT